ATCCATATTGCGAGTTATGCTTCTAATGTTTTGATGCATTATTTTTAAGTTACAATTTTGATTACATATTAACCTAGACAAATTATCCAGATCATAAAGTAGTGATGAGTTTGATATTGAAAATTGGTCAAGATCATCGCTTAAGTCTTTTGTGCTATCGCCTTTTAATTATATTAGTAATTAAGACCAAACATTTAAATTACATAAACACTCACGCCTGTCACCCAGAGGGGTAGGCAGAGATTATGGACTTCCATTTGGCACGATCCTGACACACCTCTCTCGCTTCCTCCACATCCATATACCTACGCATTCACGCTCGTCGGTTAAAGGTACTCTTGATTTGGCCAATTTTTAATATATCGCCAATTTGGTCGATAAACTTTCGCCTAGGGCGACCCTTCCCGACTATGCCGTTCACCTCTGCAACATAAATTTGCTTTGTCACTTTTACTCATTCATTCTTTCTACATGGCCAAACCACCACAAACATTTAAATTGTGTGCAATAAATATGTAAAGCAACCACTATAAGTAAGTGCCCATAACTAAGTACTTGGTATTTACTTAAATACGTTCCATAGTGCAATTTAAACTCAAATTCTTTCACTAATAGTATAAAATAAACAATTGGAGTGATAATGTTAATTTTAAAGGTATAATTAATGCATCGTATATTCAAAATAGTAATTACGAGTATGTGTTTACTAATAATATACAAATTTAAAAATTTGAGGATGTTTAAGTCACTTAGTGAAAAATACTTTACCCTAATATATATGTACACTCCGACGGTGATAAAAGAGTTATCATCCGTTTCGAATAAAATAGCGATCGGTTGTAGTGCGCAAAAACAATTAACATATTTCTGAAAAATAAGTATTGCAAAGTAAAGTAATATAAGATATCTAGGTTGAGAGGCCAAGAATTGAAGCATATTACTGAAGTATTTAATATTTGTTAATCTTAAGTGTAAAAGTAGTGTTTAAGTGTGAATTTTGTGTAAAAAATTATCAAATGTAAGCAAATGCAAATTTATGTATATTAAGGTTATTAAGTTGACTGTGGGTATATCGAAGTGTTGAAGTGCTTATACAGTAGGGCTACGATGGCTATCCGAGTACAGAACCAGAGTACGAAACCTATCCAATTGCAGAGAGGTGTAAGATAGGGTGACGTCATATCCCCGAAACTCTTCACCGCTGCATTGAAAGACGTTTTCAAGCTTCTGGACTGGAAAGGATACGGTATCAACATCAATGGCGCGTACATCACTCACCTTCGATTTGCCGACGATATAGTCCTTATGGCAGAATCGCTGGAGGACCTAAGCACTATGCTCAATGACCTCAATAGTGTTTCCCAACGGATAGGTCTTAAGATGAACATGGATAAAACAAAGATCATGTTTAATGTTCATGTCACGCCTATGCCGGTAGTTGTTGGGAACACTAAGCTCGAAGTTGTTGACGAGTTATGTTTACCTGGGACAAATAGTCCGACTAGGTAAGTCCAACTTCGACCGAGAGGTCAATCGACGGATTCAACTCGGCTGTGCAGCGTTCGGGAAATTACGGCACATCTTCTCGTCAGGTATACCTCAGAACTTGAAAACGAGACTGTACACCCAGTGCGTGTTGCCAGTAATGACATACGGAACTGAGACGTGGTCCTTCACTGCTGGCCGGACGAGGAAGCTCAAGGTCGCTCAGCGAGCTATGAAGAGGGCTATGCTCGGAGTTTCTCTGCGTGATAAACTCAGAAATCAGGATATCCGCAGTAGAACCAGAGTGACCGACATAGCCCAACGGATTAGTAAGCTGAAGTGGCAATGGGCCGGCCATATAGCTCGAAGAACCGACAACCGATGGGGAAGAAAGGTTCTCGAGTGGCAGCCTCGTACCGGCAGGCGAAGTGTAGGGCATCCCCTCACTAGATGGAGTGACGACCTGGTAAGATATGCAGGAAGTCGATGGAAGCAGGTGGCTCAGGACCGTGCTTTGTGGCATTCTTTGGGGGAGGCCTATGTTCAGCAGTGGACTTGTGAAGGGCTGTAATGATGATGATGATGATGAAGGTTATGTATTCAGGTGCCAGTGATAGTATATCAAAAGTTATCTGCGAAATAAGTTTATAAATTAGTGTTAAAAAAGTTCTAATTAAACAAAAAACACTTATATAATTTTGAAAACAATCAAACATGCATATTTTATGATAACCTATAGTATAAATGAGTAAATATAGTCATTTTTTATTAATGTTTTCTAGGTCGGTTTCGCTATTAACCCTTACAAATGGTGCTCCATCCTCCGAAGATATATTTTACCTCTTGATGTCCAGCAGTATTTAAAGGCATTATTCTTAGCAAATTCCCTGGCTAAAAAGAAGAGTCTCTTTGTCTTAATTGTCAAACTCTCAGAGACGAAAATTGGTTTGGGTGGTCCATTAAGGTTTAAGTTAGAGGTATTTAACTTGCAGGTCGAATTTTTTGTGTAAAATTCCTTGACGGATTCAACTATTTTATTCTTTAAGAGCACACTTGAAAATTCCGCTACTATGGGTTGGTTCTTTACTTTCTTAGTGTTTATGCGATAGACGTCACGGTCGGGTTGAATTGGTACACTGATAGCAGCTCCTACTTTTTTTAATAATATTTAGCAGGTCTTCGTTAGATTCTCCGATTTTTTTGGATAAATTACGCACTTCAATGCTCGAGCTACGATGATGATGATAAGTTTAATCTCCAGGGCCTGTATATATTTGTGATTGGTGGATTTTTCCTGTTCTAATAAATTTATTCTTGAGAGTAACTCATCATATTTTTTACTTAAAAAGTCAATAGCACTAGAAATAGCCTTATTTTGCTCTGTGTGGGTGTTAATACCACTCTGAACTTTATCCATCAGAGCGTTAAATTTAGCGTTTTGTTCCTTTTTGAGCTCAGAAAACATTTCCATAATTTCCGAGCGGCTAATATCGGTATCTCTCTTAGGTTTCCGCATTGCAATGTTAGGATCACCCGTAGCTTGTGTGCGCGAAACGGTAGGCACTGCAATATTACTACTAGTAGCATTTGTCACCGAGTCAGTGATATTAGAGTCTGACTTACAATGCAACATTGCGGTTGGCGTAGTAGGAGGGGTGCGTTTAAGCGGCATAATAGCAAAGCGTTAGCGACGACAAGTACCAGGCAAACAGAATATTCAAGCACTGCGCGTTAGCACGTAGTCGTTGCACAAATATGCAGTTTGCCTATGTGTGTAGTGCACAATTATAACTTATCACAGAGTAAGTGAATAACGTGTTAGGTTCACTCACCATTACCACACAGCAATAATACGTGCTTCTTATAGTTTATGCGCTCCTATTATTTCGTAGAATTTAACACTTTTTTGATTAAATTTAAATATAAGTGCGGACTAGTCTTAAAATACGTCTGATGAACACAGAAGTCCGAGGGGAGAGTGGGATTCGTTAATGTTTTAACTCTCGCCTTGCGGCTCGCCTCGTACCTCGCCTCGCAGCTCGCGTGTTGTTGTGAAGTAAAGTTTAAAGGTGATTTAGGAACATCATTATTAGGGGACACACTAAAAGAAAAAAATCCGATCTAGGCATTAAACTGTGGACGTGAAGACCACAAATGTGAGCAGAAGTACGAATTTTCGGAATTTTATAAAACATGGCGTAGAGCGCGAACCGTTCGGGGTAGAATTTTTTTTTAGGGAACCGAGGCCACCTCACCCCCGTTCGAACACGTACGTGGCAGATTATCCACCATTACTGGGACATACTGTATATCTTAGGAAGTTTTGACTTCCTATTAACCTCATAAGATATATCTTAGGAGGTTAATGAATTACTAATTTTTGAAACACTGTATTGATTCTACCTATAATTAGTAAACAGAATTTACATTTCCCAAAAATCAAGAAAATAAAAATAGAGAATCATCGGCAACACTATTTATATTAAACTATTGCTATTCCGCTTAGGTATACGGCAAGGACTACTCTATTGTACATACTCCATCTACGGCGTAGAATGTTTTTCTGATGATGAAGATGCTTGGAATTTTTTTTGTTTGAGTAATCAGTGATTACTGCGATTAGTAATCACACATCACATAAATAAAAAATAATAACATAACAACTGTTACTGGACACCATTAGCAATTAATTGAAAAAAATGGGTTTTATTGTTAAAAACTTTAAAAATTCAATAAAAAATAAATAACAGTTTAAAAAAATAAAAATCAAGTTTTTTTGGATAATTGAACAAAAAAATAGAAAATAATTTTCAATAAGTTTAAAATAAGAAAATAGTGATTTTTTTTTGGAACGAAGTTCTTTTACGCATTTTACAGTAGAGTGAACAGGCAGAAATCGTAGTTATTATATGAATCCTGGCAAGGATAATGGGACAAACTATTTAAATTATTGCATTTTCAGCGGTCCTTGATAAGTGTGCGAAGTTTCAATTGAATCCGACGTTTTAAAGGGGATGAAAATCACATTAAAAAAATTCAGTTACATAGATTTAAAAGGAGCAGACTTCGTCTAAAACAAGTTTAGCTTCATATATTCTAAGGTACCATCCCCTTCAGGCTTGGCACTCATCTTCCAAACAACCACTATATAATAGGGTGTCATTTTTTTATATAAACTGATGAAAGAAGACTACAGAGAAAGAATTTAAAAGAATAAGAAATACCGTAAAATAAATGTCTTCGCATGTGAACTGTTAGTGGAAGCGATCAAACAACTGCTCCGATGGCGATGCGAACCTCAAGTTATTTTCTATGTTATGGATCCTTGAGATACTATCGTCATAGTCTATCTACTGGCTCAAGCTGCCGTCAAATTATCCGAAAACGTTTTGCAATGTGACGCATCAACTTTTTGTGAAGAAGTTTATATAGAAATGATTAAAAAGCATAATATCATAATACTTGACACTGGCAAATATACATCCGTACAAGTCAAAGCAAAATACCAATAAAAAAAGTAAGTTAATGCATCATCTGCATCAATTATTTTTATTTATTTATTTATCTATGTTTTTATTTGAATTTTTTTGCTCACGTATTTTGTTATATTTTAAAGAGCTGTTTTTAGACTAATATAGGTAAGTGGTATTACAGACAACAAATATCTATTAGAACAAAGTAACCTTATAATTAAGTTTTGTAAGAAGAGATAAATATACCTAAAATGCCAGTGAAAATAATAAATTCATTTTACTAAAAAAAAAAAAATTAACAGCAAGTAGGTAACAATTAATGCTTTTAACATTACTGATTCTCCCGTTAACCATTTTATTAAAACGCTTGTGCTTGGTTCATGACAGTGATGGTAGATTCGAACCCACTACTCGATTTTATCTCTTCCCTTAAAAGAAACAGGGAGTCAGGGTCCCTAAACAGGGCGACCAGAGTGGTTCCAACCGCCCCGCTTCTCTGCCGCACTGTGGATCGTGTAGTGTAATAAGAGACAGAGAGACAGGGAGCTCAGTTGCGTGGCCGCAAGCACGGATTTTACACATCTGTTTTTTATTTAAAGTTCTGGTGCGTCGATCTGCTCACATAAATCATTGTTCGTAACTATGTCGTGCGCTAAAGAAAATGATGTCCTTCTCATTGTCATCGACATTTACAGAGATATCTTTAGCGGAAAAAGCACAAGGACTATTCCAATCTTTATATATATAAATTACGTGTCACGTAGTTTGTCCGTGATGAACTTCTAAACTACTGAACTGATTTCAATGAAATTTTGCACACTGTGTGCATTTTGGTCCAACTTGAGAGATAGGATAGTTTTTATCCCGATAAATGACCCTCAAAATTTTTTACTGCAAATTTAAGGATTTTTATAGGAAGGGTCGTTGGAAAGGGCAGAACAACGTCTGCCTGGCGATTTGTAATTGTAATCGAGGATAGATATAGATGTCTATGAACCACGGCACCACTTACCATCAGGTGGACAGTGTGCTTGTTTGTCACCCTTATCCTATTCTATAATTTTTAAGTTTAATAACCCATTCTCTATTTTCCATCCAGAACAGAACTTTTTCTTCAAATTTAAATGGAACTTACCCTTGAGGTATACCTTGTGTGGTTCCATTTAGACTAATATATTATAGCCTTTTAACAAAAAAATAAAGAATCATTCAAATTGGCTTAGTCAATTTCGAGAAATCAGTAAATGTACATAAATTATGTGTTGAACATAAGGTGGCTATGTGGCTCAGTGGCTTAGCAATTGGGTTGCAGCGCTAAGGCTGCGTTTCAAATCCCGCGTGGAACAAGTATTTGTATGGCCTACAAATAATTGTTGCAGGTCTGGATATTTGTCCTTGTCCTGCCCCCACAATACAGTAGAAAATCCCAGTATGGAGGATATGCTCTTAAAAAGGACTCCTTTTTTGAAGTCAGTTAATAAATAAACCATTAACTTCAACCATTTCAAATTCAATTAACTATTTAAAAATAGAAAAGGTTTCTTTTCTATTAATGTACAAATGTACAAGTTGTGTTTAATGCAAAGTTACAAATGCATGAAATAGATGCTTGCTGCAGGGCTCGGAAACGTTATTAAAAATAACATTTTAAAATGTTTGGGATGGTTTCTTGTATAACATTTTCTAAATATTATGTTCAGAACAAAAACAAAATGAGAATGTAATGTGAAAACGTAAAAACGGTTTATTCCGCAGGAAGCTAAACTAATGGCATGTGCCACGACAAGCTTAAACCTATAAGGTATTTTTGTTTCGTATTGCAGGGCCAAAAATGGGAAAAGCGGTTTAAAATGGTTAAAAAAGTTTTATTGTACAAGAATGATTTAAAATTTCGTTCTCTTCATAAACGTTTTTATTACGATTCCGTTCCAACATAAACGAAACAAATATGTTTTTAGGTATTTAAGGCGAAAACATTTCCAAAATATACCGTTATCCGAGCCCTGGCTTGCTGGCATAGATCAACACATGACAGTGCAGTGTATCATAACTCATTCCTCCGAACATAATCTGAATAACAATGAGATAGATGCTCACCTCCTTGGAGACAATGTATATCTTTGTGGAAAGTACATGATAATACTATTTTTAAACCAAGCTACAAATGCAAAAAAACTACAATGAAGCACAAATCAAAACCAGAAACACAGTTGAAAGGACATTTGGTGTGTGGGAAAGAAGATTTGCATGCCTTTCTTAAAGATTAAGGTTAAAATTAGATCACAATTTAGTTGTGATTGTTGCAACAGCTGTGTTACATAATATCGCTCTACTGCAAAATTATATTGTGGCAAATGATTCTGCTTCCGAAGAAGATATTTTTACAGAATCAATTGAACAACCTCCTTCCTCTGAAGGAAATCATTTTAGTTGGTTATTGTTGGAACAATATTTTATAAATTTTGGTAGTTTATATTTTGTTAATATCTCTAAAGCTAAATTTACACAATGTTGAATGCTACACAAAATAAACTGAGTCTCATCAAAAGTTCCCTGGAAGAAATCTCTGATTGCAATAAGGCTGCCCATGGTTTACATTTACAATAATGTGATAAAATATTTACAATTTCGTCTTTTTTTTTATAGAAAATGTGTGACAAATGAGCACAGTCTACCTGATGGTAAGTGGATGCTGTGGCCCATAGACATCTACCAAAATACAGATGCATTGTCACCATTGATGATTAAGATGGAATACCTTGTTTCCAGTAAAAAGGGTCTCCGCTTCTCTACATTCACCATACGAAACAGCAGCAATAAGCAGCTATTTCAAACTTATACTCTGTGAGGGTGTGTTCTTTCCCCACTTGAGTTGACCCATTTGTGTGCTACAACCATAATCTATATGTTCGCAACATGTCTCTCCCATGTATCAATAAAGTATTAAATAAATAAAAAACTAATTTGAATATTTCATTTATATTTCTAGTAAAAAATATAGTGAATAGAATGTAAAATAAGAATTTCAATTTATTATAATATGTCCATTATAAATTAAGATTGTTCTTTTTAAATTCAAAGTCCATTTTTGCATTTTCTAAAAGAGATCTCTTTAACTCAATATCAAGATCCAGTAAAATTTTTGTTTTTTCTAATTTCATAAGTTCATGTTGATGTTGAATCTTTAAGATGTCTAACCTTTTGTTTATTATTGCAGCTTCATTAATTTGCTTCTGACAAAACATTCCACCTCCTGACTTGTATGATTTGAACTGAAATTAAAATTTAACATTTTATGTTATATTCTTATCTGATACCATTGTGTAATTTTATATGGGAATCATTTATTATTGTGAATTCTCTAAGGCATAACTGCTTATAAAGTGAAGTGGGTATATTGTAATGATGTATAATATTATTGGTAACTAGTGATATAGAGTATGTACAGTAAAGGGTTCGGTCACACTTTGTACATTTAAAATATTCATTAGGGAGTTCAAATACAAATATGCAGGATATGGCTCACCTTATCATTGCTAAAATGTTTTCTAGCCTTTTTCTTTAAATTATCATATAAGGCATGTAACTGTTTTTCCGTCCTAAATCCAGATTCCGAGACAACATTATATTTATTTGTCAGCGCCATCCAAGCTTGTTTCTTGGCCTCTACAGTAATCCCGTCAGTCTTTTTGTTGTCAATTATGGCCACAAATTCCTTGGCTACTTTAATAAGAAGCATCTTCTCTCTTTCAGTAAAATTTTTACTGCGTTTTCCAGACTCCATTATTCTTATTTTATAAAAGAAAGGATATTGATTACTGACCTAAATAATATAAAGATAAAGCAGAAACGATATGTAGCAATTACCACTAAACATAAAATCACATGGAAATATAAAAAAAAAAAAAAATATTACCACATACGAAACAAAAACAATGAGTTTGACTTTGACATTTTCTACACAGTCGCCGATAAATATGGAGTTATAATAATTTATTACTAAAACAGTGTAAATTCACTTATTTAGGCTCAAAAACAAATATATTATAAATAAAAATTTAATAAAACTAGTATTAATGAAGAATTGTAATAATAAAATCAATTTTAGACTCGATCGCCTTAACAGACCCATCTAGCGACAAATTGGGGAACTTGTTATTGGTACAGAAACACAGCGACAGTTAACCGACCTTTTCACTACCGACGTTTAACTTTATTGAATATCTAGCTAATGGAAATATAACTAGGAACTTCAGAATTTGGGTAATAGTCGGAAAATTTATCCTAGGTCCTCGCCGACAACTTTGAAATTTGTGCTCTCCGTAACTACCGGCTTACGTGTGACATGGACGTTACACATTGCAAGTCCTCCGTTACTGTTACAGCTTATTTTTTTTAAATTCTTATTAAAGATCACTGCTGACCATAGACCTCCCCCAAGATTGCCTTTTAGGGGGGGATATTTTCCATAGTTGCCACCTTTTGTAAGCGGATTGGCAACCGCAGTTTTATATTTTTAGTCATTATTAGGAAGACGCTGCTGCCCATCTCCTGATTTGTTTCCCTTTGTCACCTCTTCTAACACCCACGGGATAATATGATGTAGTCGATATTCTTACACGGTTTTAAATCCTCACCTCATAATAATCCTTTACTTCCATAGTACGACCTTCACAATTTGTTTCTGATGAGAGAGATATGGGGTAGTGGATTCTAAGTATTAAGAGATAGTTAAGGGAATGGAACTCTATATCATTCTGTGAGTGTTGAACGAGGTGACAAAGGTAAATGAAAAAGATAGGCAGAAGCATCTTCCTGATATCAACTCAAAATATTAAATAATTGCATCTGTGGCAGATATCCGCCTCGGTGGCATCTATGGCAGATATTCTCCTCAGTGGTATCTATGGCAGATATCCTCCTTGTGAGACGATTTGTGGGGAAGGCTTATGTTCAGTAGTGGATATTCATACACTGTCTTTCCGTACGAATACAATTTGGGCGGGTTCAAGACGAGTGAATAGGCATTTTTTACGCTAAGGCAGTGCGATTTACCATCTAAAGCTTTATCAACACTGACCACCAGGTGGGATTGTGGTCAAGCACTGGCATATAAGTAAAAAAAAAAAGAATAATTGAATTCCAATAATGAATGAGGTTGACTTTCACAACATTTGTGGCAGTATTTTCGGGACGCCTATGTTCATCAACAGAATTGTGATTGTTTGTAATGTTAATGTAATAATGTCCTCTTCTCGACGGAGACTAGATATCTGCGCAGGACAGGATTATTGTGGCCGAGTGTCTGCGCAAGTTTTAGTCCAATCTATATTCCCTTTCATAGTACGATGGAACGGTTATCGGACACTACCGGAGAGAAATCAGGCGAAGGAATAATGGTGACGTGCTTTCCGCGGCGCGGGGTAAAACACCGCCAACTTCCTGACTCCGGGGTGCTGTTGAGAATTTATTGACAGGAAAACCCCAATAACTAATTTTAGCCTGACCAGAAATTCGAACCCGGGATCTCATGTTCAGCAACCACGTTTGCGATCACTAAACCAACGAGGTAGTCATGGACGGTTTATAATAGTGATCTATTTTTGGCCGATTTCAAAAAAGGAGTAAACTTACAATTCTACTGTTTGTTTTTTTATATGTGTTACGCTATATTTTCACCAATTATTGTGAACCGTTTTTTTTAATTTTGCCGTGTAGTGGCGGTGTAGGAACATCCACTACCCAATATCATCCCGTGGGTGTCGTAAGAGGCCACAGGCGGAAACAAATCAGGAGATGGGCAGCAGCGTCTTCCGAATAACGACTAATAAAACTGTGGTTGCCTACCCGCTTGCCTAGTGCGGCAACTATGGCAAATATCCCCTCCTTTGAGGCAATCTATGGGAGAGGCCTATATATAACGCTGTGACACTACAAGACAAAAGCAAAACTCTTGTGAAAAATTATATATTGCATGATTTGTTTTCAGGATGAAAGAAAAACGAATGTATGTATATGCGGCACAGATAGTTTTTGTTTGTGCAATATTCATTGGTGAGTATACCTAATTTTTTTTATAAAGGTGGCAAACGAGCATGGGTTCACCTGATGGTAAGTGATTACTGCCGCCCATGAATAACTACAATGGGTATTGCAGGAGTGTTGCCGGTTTTTTTTTTTAAAGAAGAAGGCTCTTTTTTGAAGGTCACTACTCACTAAGTTGTATCGGTCAGGAAAATCGTTTATGGTAGCCGATTCGACAAGAAGTTGTGCGAGAAAAGAAACTTCTGATAAATCGCACAGTGGTGGACCGCAAATTATCGAGATGGTATGGGTGATAGTGAAATCTGGCGGCACAGATTAGTTTGAATAATTCCTCTGGCCACTCCCCGTGGTACAAGCGATAGATTTTTTTTTATAAGATAGGGTGACAAACGAGCACACAGTCCACCTGATGTGAAGTGGTCGCTGTGACTCATAGACATCTACATTTATCCTCGCTTGCGAATCAAAATGCAGATGCGTTGCCACTCGTGAGGACTAAGATGGAATGCCTCTTTTCCAGTAAAAAGGGTCTCCGGTTCTACACTCACCATACCAAAACACAGCAGTGCTAAGCTGCTATTTTACGCTGGTTTTCTGTGAGAGCGTGGTCCTTCCCCGGTAGAGCCGACCCATTCGTGCTACAACTATACTACTAATATAGCTGCAGCATGGCTCTACCACGTTTAAAGAATATGCAAATAGATGCAAATGCAAATAGATAGAACATATCTTCACAACGCTTGTGAGTTAAGCCAATCAGAAACAAGTCTTTCATCGACGATTCGTGCTGTTCTTCGCTGGATGCGATCAAGTACGCGAAACTGGACGTAATTTGAGCCAGCCGACATCGGAATCCTCGGCGTCGATATAACTATGAGACAATAAGGGGAGTCTTTAAATTGAGGACAAGAGAGAACAAGGAGGTAACGGTGATAGGCCTGTAGTTGGGCGCATGAGAGTGGTTACCTTTGTTAGGGATCGGGCGCACAAAATTTGTCCTCAAAGACTACGGGACAGTGTCTGAAGAGTAGGACCGGAAAAGACGCGTAAGAACTGGTGTCAATTCCGCGGTACACGTTATATATGCCTATATATATATCTATAATATTATATATGAATATAATTTACATACACTTCATAATTTTCATATTAGGTATTAAGTTAAAATATATTTTTCATAATATTTTATCTTTCACAAGCACTACCAACAGAGCTAGCAGAGCTATTAGTAAAGTCTATATACGAAGACAAAGTACCAAAGGTGGGCCTCCTCTCATTTCTAAGAAGGTTTTAGGACAAGCGTCTGCTGCGTGGCGCCAATGTGAAATAATTAATTAATAATAATTTAAAAAAAAAAAGATAAATTGAAGATAATATAGATTAAGGAAGAAAGAATAGAGACAGTGTAGTGGCGGTGTAAGAATATCCACTAGCTCATATCGTGCCGTGGGTGTCGTAAGAGGCGACAGAAGAAAACAAACCAGAAGATGCGTAGTGGCGTCTTTTTAATAACAACAAAACATGCGTGAGTGTCGTGGAACACTCGGTTGGGTTAGAACGAAGTTCCTTTCATAGTACATTTGTACATATATATTATTATTGATAAACATATTATATTATTGATTGACAAATACAAATAAATGGATTATTAGTGTCTATTAAAATGAAGACTCATTTGAAATAAAATACACTGACACAAGGGGTAGTGCCGAAAAAATCTTACACTTTTTGTCGCCTAGCTCCCATCCGCTAAACCCGTGCCGTCCGATAAAGAACTTCGTTCCAAAAAAAAACTGCGGTTGCTGCTAGCGTGGCAACTATGGAAATATACCTCATATGAGGCAATCTAGGGCAGGCCTATGTTCAGCAGTACCTATAATATTAAATTATAGGCTGTAAGGGTAACAGTATAAAGATCGAAGAGATATATTCTGTGCTCATTGCAAAGTATATATATACATATATATATACATATATATATATGTATATATATATATGTATATATATATACATATATATATATGTATATATATATACATATATATATATATATATATGTATATATATATGTATGTGTGTATGAGTATGTATGTATATATTTATTGTATTTATTAATATATATGTATGTAAATCAATAGAAATAAGAAAATAAATTATACTTATATTTTATACACTTAATACGTTAATTGTTAACTGTTACTTATAGCAAATTTCTATTAACTAGTGTTATGTTAATTATTAAGTACGCACGCTGCTACCTACTTGCTTTATATAAAACCATTTCTCTTTCCCAATAGGTTTGCTGGAAGAGAACTCTTATTAGGGTTAAGCTCGCCTTTGTACATTTTATTTAAATATTTAATAATTGTTACCAACGTATAGTGTGTACAATAAAGAATAAAGAATAAAGTATTTAATTACAAAGTATTCATTATTATTTTTACTAGTTATTTATATATATACCTACATATAAATAAAATTGAAGTGTCTGTCTGTTATATTGTAATAACTAGCTTTGATCTAGCTCACGGGGTTGTTTACATGTTACTTAGAAATAAATAACTATTTTTAGGGATCCTTACCCAAAGGTTAACCAACGGGGCCCCATTTCTAATCCTCCCCTGTCCGTTCGTCCGTACGTCCGTCTGTCTGTCAGCGGGCTGTATCTTATGATCCGTAGTAGGTACACATTTGAAATTTTCACAGAATGTGTATCTATAACGACAAATAATAAAAATAAATTAAAAAGGGCTCTCCTACTAGAATCCTGTATTACGATGTTACGGAACCTGTTGCGGCAACACCGACTAATAATCAGCGGTATAAAACAAGGCGCCAGGGTGTGCCCAGCGGCAATCTTCTTTTTAAGAAGGTCTTACCATTGTACCAGCAAAGATATTATTAGGAAGTCATTATATCATTTTTACCAGCGACCGTATTTTATTTTATTTTGTTACGTTCATTTGTAAACAGAACCCTTCATGCGCGAGTCTGACTCGCACTTGGCCCGGTCTATTATAATTATTTTCTGTCTGTCCGGGCTAGTCTTCGGAATGGCTGAACGGACTATGATGAAATTTTTTACAAATAGACAGAGAGTATTATATTTGTTATGATTTATGAGAGATTTAGACTAAAGATTTTTTTTAAAACGAAAAAATGATAAAATTAAGTCTTCTTCATAAAAATATTAGCAATGCTATGAATATTGCTAATCACTTCTGCATGGGCAGGAGACAATTTTGTCCCCGGAGAAAGGAGAGAATGTTTATCCCTTCGCTTAGTTTTACCCACCCTACGAACATGGGCACACCGGTAGATATTCCACTGTAGATAAAATGGGAGATAGACTTAGATTTTTTGTATGAATATAAACTTAAACCCACGTCCATTGAACTAGGATAAAATTGTCCCTTTCAAATGTCAAAAAATCATAATTTTTTATATTTCATTTGGCTCCATGCTACGGACGGGGGATATATTATGTCTACTCGTTATGTCAAACGGGGATATACTTCTCCCCGTTGCCGTGCTTTGGCATAAGGACAAGATAATTTTATATCTTGTCAGTGGATATAATCAGGGAATTTTTTTGTCGCCAGCCCATGCTAGCCGTGCTGGTAAGCTTTATAAATGTTAGTGTTAGGAGTAATTCAGGACAGTAGTCGAATGGTGGATTCGAACCCACGACATTTTGCGTTCCCGGTCCGCACCCTGCCATTAGGATATTGTCGTTTGCCGCGGTGTTCGTTATCTTAAATTTAAATACCGCCACATCAACATTCTACCGAGGCGAAGCAGGGGGCGGTTCGCTAGTCGTAAATATGAGAACATTGATAAAATTCCAAGTATTCGTTTCACTATAAACTACATAAAGTAAACAGTGACGGTACAAAGGGTCCATTCTACTCTGCCTACAATTTGTTTTTGTGATAAGAGCTATGCGAAACGTGCTGAAGTGGTGTAAAAATTAATAAGGCCTATATGACAGTATAATGGCGGTGCAACTACCTTTAGCGTGGTAGAGCCATGATATTATAGCTATATTATGATTGTACCACGAATGGATCGACTCGACCGGGGCAGGACCGCGCTCTCACAATACCAGCGTAAAATAGCAGCTTAATGCTGCTGTGTTTCGACTTTCGAATGGTGAGTGTAGACAACCGGACCCTTTTTTGTGGAAATGAAGCTTACCATTTTAGTCCTCAGGGTGGACAATACTGCAGTATTTTGATTCCACAGTATTCACCATAGACTTAGATTAATATACCTATGTATATTAATATATTGTACTTACCATTAGGTGGACTATGTGTTAGTTTTTCACCTTTATTCTATAAAAGAGAACCCATATTGTTCCGGGGGTGAACTAGAAGATGGACAGCAGCGTGTTTCTAATAACAGCCAAATATAATAAAACTGTAACTGAGGCAATCTATGGGGGAGGCCTATATTCAGCAGTGCACTTTTGATATGCTTTAACAACGAACGTTGATACTTAGGCGGAAGAAAAAGTGGCAACTAATTTTTTTGGTCACGGTTGATAAATGAAACGTTACAAATAATCCGAATGCACAGTTTATTCACTTTTTTTGCGCCCAGAAGCAAATGAAAAGGGCTACCCCCATAAACGAGAGGGAGGTGGTGAATGCTTTATGCATACCACGACAGCCGGCTGTCGTGGTTATGTGGGACTCACTGTGACTAACCTAACCTAACCTCCCTAAGTGTACCCACTAAACACCATATGTGAGACTGGCATTGGCTTATAAGGCCTTTCTGCCGAATCGGAAGCGACCCTCTTTTGGGAAAAGGGGGCGCAGGCGGCGACGAGCCGCCGAGGGGGAGCCTTCTAAGGCAAATTTAAGAAGAGTCGGCCTGAGCCGCCAGGAGGCAGTTCAGGTCGGTTGAAAGCTTGTTTGGCGGGTCCGAGAGAGTTTCTCGGCCTGTGGACTAGACAGTCAAAGGTTTGGCGGAGTGGCGTGATTCCGTGGCGCAGGCGGGGTATCGTACGAGAGGGGATAGTGAGACATCGGGTGACATAGGTAAGCATCAGCGGGCTATAATATGCTATACGTTCATAGTTCGGTAGCTATGTAGACGTTTAAGGGTTTTGGGTTAGCGCTACGGGTTTAGAAAGAGCAGACAGATGTTGCGCTGCGTATATTTTTCAAGTGACGCCGAAACCAAACCAAAACCATGCTCAACTCATTGTAAGAACACACACGCACGTACTTATATTATGTAGATATCTAAATAATTTTCAACCAACATGGTTTTAGGTGCACATGTTCCCAGCTGTGGAAAGTTTCGGGCTATAAAAAAGTAAGAGAAATCGTTTTGGCGTCACTTGAAATGTGCGTAGCGCTCCGTCTCTTTCTTAGTTGATCTGAGGCTACAGGGTCACAATTTCGAATACCACATTTAACCACTTTAATGGTCTACAAACAATCGCTCCGGGCCTGGATGCCACCGCCACCACGACGCAGGAGAAAGTCCTAGAGTTGTGTAAATTGATTTCATTTCTTTTTTTTACAATTTATGAACTAGTGACGTAGATTCTTTTCCACTAGTAAAATAATCTGCTTCTTCACGGGGAGTGCTATGAGGAATTGTTTCGAATAAGTTCAGCCGCTAAATTCCACCATCCCGCATCGCGACAAAACTATCCATACCATCTTAATGATTGGCGGTCCACCACTGTACGATTTACCAGTTTTCTTCCTTGCACAGCTTCTTTCTGAAATAGGCTACCACCACCGATTTTTCGGACTTTAATAACATAACGATCTCCCAGAAATGAGCTTAACATTTTTAAAAGGCCGGCAACGCACCTGAATTCCCCTGGTGTTGCAGATGTTCATGGGCATTAGTCACTTAGAATCAGGTGAGCCGCATGCTCGTTTGCATATAAATACATAATCCCGTGGATGATACCCAATAGTTGAAAGAGGAAAATGAAACAGGAGATGAGTGGCAGAATCACCAAGCGTGTCAACTATGGCAACCATGACCTCTACGTGGCTATCTATGGGGGTGGCTAATGCCCTGCCACTTCAGCAAGCAGTACTGCGCTTACCTAAATACGAGTTCCTTGCGTAAAAATCTCATCTTCTTAAAAGCTTCTACCTACGTACTAAAGCCATTCTGTAGATATATTATGGTTGTAACACGAAGGCGTCGGCTCGACCGGGGATGGACCAGGCTCTCACAAAATACAATCGTAAAATAGCAGCTTAGTACCTACTGCTGTATTTCGTATAGTGAGTATAGACAACCGGGAACACTTCTTACTGGTACCAAGGCATTCCATTTTCTACCGACTTCAAAAATGTTGTTTTTTTATGTGTGTTACCTTATAACTTTTTTACTGGGTGAACCCATTTGGATGATTCTCTTTTTTATTTGAAAGCTGGTACTTCACATGTGGTCCCATATGAATTTGATCAAGGTCAGACCAATAGTTTTTGACTTATTCTTAATAATTTATATTGAAGTCGGCAGTACAAAATTTTTAATTTTTAATTAGAGTCCTTGAGGTCTGTGGGTTACAGTATCCACTTATCATCAGGTGGAATGTTTGTTCGTTTGTCACCCTTATTCTATAAAAAAAAAACTGCTCACACTGCACGTATCCGCCTCCGCGCCCGCTGCAGCGTGCAGTATAAGCCAACCATATGATTATCTTAACACAATGCTTATTGCTTACTGGCTTACTGCCCTAGTCGAGAGACGAAACGAACGTGCCCGTATATTTTTGTATTGGCCTAAACACTTGGGACGTTCTCCACTCGTGGGTAATCAAAATGGTTTCTAAGAATAAAATTTTATTTTCTAGCCTACTTATATTTTTAGGTTATCAAGGGATGAATCTCGAAAATGCGCATAAATGGGTTTCTGTGGTTGGTGAGTTTTTTTTTATTTTTTTTTTTTGCATGACTTGGCTTAAACGGTTATTGTCAATTAATAAATATGTTGGGAGGTTAAAAAACTATATTCTCAATAAATATATCTATTGTGTACGTTTTACAATTTTGTAATTTGTTATATTTTTTTTAAATATTGTGCAAGCAGTTCTAGAAAGACTTGTATTACAGCCGCCTATAAGATCTATTGTGATCGCTGCTATGGCTATAGTTCACTGTTAAGCCCTATGTCTTCAATAAATTGAAGGACTTGCTTAGCTGTGAGTCATTTCCATAGAATACTATAATATATACACGAACCTAATTTTACTTGTTTTGGGCTAACTACGTACATAGTTTAAGGAGTGTTACAAAATTAGGAATATTTATTAAAACACTAGCGACCATCCCTGGCTTCGCTTGAATCTTCTTTTTTTTATAGGATCGGGTGACAAACGAGCACACAGTCCACCTGATGGTAAGTGGTTACTGTGACCCATAGACATCTACATCTATCCTCAATAAAGACTCAAGATGCAGATGCGTTGTCACCCGTGAGGACTAAGATGGAGTGCCTCTTTACCAGTAAAAAGGGTCTCCGGTTCTCTGCACTCACCATACGAAACACAGCAGTATTAAGCTCCTATTTAACGCTGGTTTTCTATCGTGGTGTCATAGAATTATTACATACGTTATAATTCTACGTAATAATTCTTTGCGTGATGTTATTTAAATTTATAAATATAATTTTTTTTAAACATTCACGTTATACGGATAAACTGTAGCCTAGATCCCCCCTGGTATTGTTCTCTATTGTTCATAAAGTTTCATCACCATCGGTTTAGCCATTCTGAAGATTAGTCTGGATAGACAGACTGGTAAACATTTTTAAAATTATTATTTATCTGTGTCTTAATACCATGCAAATAACATAAACACTCACGCCTGTCACCCAGGCAGGCAGAGACTATGGACTTCCATTTGACACGATCCTGACACACCTCTCTCGCTTCCTCCACATCCATATACCTACACATACACGCTCGTCGGTTAAAGGTACTCTTGATTTGGCCCATTTTTAATATATCGCCAATTTGGTCGATAAACTTTCGCCTAGGGCGACCCTTCCCGACTATGCCGTTCACTTCTGCAACATAAATTTGCTTTGTCACTCTTTTCTCATTCATTCTTTCTACATGACCAAACCAATGAAGCGTTCCTTACTCAAACCTTGGAGGCAAATAACCTCCAAAGCTTAATAGAAGCCAGTTAATTCAATATTACAGACACTTCAATTATATTTATATTTGTATAGATAAAATACGAAAACTAATATCACACAGTCACAGTTTGATTCGTAATCGAAGATAGATGTAGATGTCTATGGGCCACAGCAACCACTTACCATCAGGTGGACTGTGTGTTCGTTTGTCACCATTATCCTATAAAAAAAACTGGTTTGATAGTTTTATTTTTGTTCCAGCCCGTTATGTTGTCTACATGTTAATAATAAAAGGTTCCAGTGAAGTATGTGCAATAGGCTTCAACGCGTTACATTCTGAGCAGTCGACGGACGTTTATCAAATTGTATATAACACCAAAAAATTTCTATTCATTACAGTCTTATCAATTGGTTTTTTGATTTATAATAAACAGAAAGTACTCGGCGAGGATTTCCTGTTTTGGTTTATCGCGCACCTTATAACGGAATATCCGGAAATGGTAAGTTAAGTATGGTGTAACTCTTTTATGTTATTATTTGGTCGTTGTTGTTCTGGAATTGGGCGCATGTTTCAACTTTCTTTATATAAGGGTGGATAATGACTGTTTACCTAATGATTTATGCTTTGGCACTATAAATCTAGACTAAGATGGATTGCCTCATTACCAGTAATAATTAAAAACTAAAAAGTTTGTACAACCGACTTCAATATAATATATTAAGAATAATGATTTCTTTTATTTACGCGAAGACTACACATTAAATGAAACTAATTTTTACGGATTTTATTGCGTTTTAAAAAGTTAAATTAAAAATAGTTTCTTTTAATATTAAGAATAACTCAAAAACTATTGGTCAGCTCTTGATCAAATTTATATGGAACCACATGTGAAGCACGAGCTTTCAAATAAAAAAGAATCATCGAAATCGGTTCACCCAGAAAAAAGTTATGAGGTAACACACAAAAAAAATTAGTCAACTTTTTTTTATAGGAGAGGGGGCAAATGAGCATGCGGCTCACCTGATGGTAAGTGACTACCGCCGCCCATGAACAACTGTAACTTGAGTACCTCCTGTTTGAAATCGTTAAAAATGGGACGTCCAGTTCTGTAGAGAATGCCGCTTGTTTTGTATCGTGAGTGTAGACTCACCATACAAAACAAGCGGTATTAAGCTGCTGTTTTACGCTGGTATTCAGTACATAGAAGAATAATGATTGCTGTGTTCTGTTATGTGCTTATTTTTTTTATAGAATAATGGTGACAAACGTGCACACCGTCCACCTGATAGTAAATTGATACTGTGGCCCATAAACATCTACATCTATTCTCGATTAAGAATCAAAATGTAGATGTGTTGTCACACCTGAGGAATCCGGTCTCCGGTTCTTTACACTCACGATATCAAACACAGCAGCATTTTTTTTTATAGGATAGGGTGACAAACGAGCACGCAGTCCACCTGATGGTAAGTGGTTGCTGTGGCCCATAGACATCTACATTTATCCTCGTTTGCGAATCAAAATCCAGATGCGTTGTCACCCGTGAGGACTAAGATGGAATGCCTCTTTTCCAGTAAAAAGTGTCTCCGGTTCTCTACACTCACCATACGAAACACAGCAGTGTTAAGCTGCTATTTTACGCTGGTGTTCTGTGAGAGCGTGGTCCTTCCCCGGTCGAGCCGACCCATTCGTGCTACAACTATACTACTAATATAGCGGCAGCATGGCTCTACCAAGTATAAATGCAGATATCCTACGCTGGTATTCTGTTAACACTTTCACGTTCCGGTTTTCAGACACAATAGTAAGACAATAGCAATGACCCATATGTAGTCCACAGGATAGTGAAAGGGTTAAGCAGCATCTTTATGATAACAACTTAAAATAATTAAAAACTGCAGTTGCCCGCCACCAAACGTGGCAATAGTTGCCAGCATTTATTCTCCCTATGTGGGATTCTATGGGGCAGGCATTTGAGCAGGTGGACTTTTCACTGAAGATGACGATGTTGAAATTGCCCTGCCTCTATTTAACCACGACTCGTCTTATTCCAGGAACAAACCGCACCAACTATCAACTATGGTGTCGGTATGGCGTGCAGTTTCTTCGAAGGCTATCTAGTTCACGTGATTCCGAGCGATGGAGCCAAATTCGTGGGTTTCGAAGAGAACATGAACATTTATGAGGCACGTCAGGGGATAGTGTTCCCTGTCAAGAGGCTGTTCATAGTGATAACGAAGTCTCTCTACTGCCCGCCTGATCTGAAACATTTTAACAAGAACAACAGGATGGATATACCGTATTTGGAGGCCTGTCAGGTTAGTGATCTAGATAGGATTGGCGTGATTCAATAATTTCTACAGTTTCAAGCGAATCGTGAAAAGAAACGTAAATTATATTATTCTATTTTTAGATTCATATCCGTTTCACAACAGAGGATAAGTGTCAGAATGTTATATACCAGGAAAGACGCCACCTTAAATTTTTAAATTATCCCAGTAAAGATCAGTCAGGATTTCATACGTGGTAGAGCCATGCTACAGCTATATTAATAGTATAGTTGTAGCACGAATGGGTCGGCTCGACCGGGGAAGGACCACGCTCTTACATAATACCACCGTAAAATGTTTCGTTCGGTGAGTATAGAGAAGCGAATACCCTTTTTACTGGAAAAGAACCATTCCACACCAGGGTGGGAATAAAAATACATTATATTGTTTTATTCCTTTAAAAAATTATTAGTAATATTCGCCTTTACGCCTATTTAGGCTCAACGAAGACTAGCCATCAGCGCAGGGTAGCATTATAGTGCCCGAGTTTATACGCAAGCACAGGTGTACTCTCTATGTCCACACTTTCATAATCCGATGTGACGGTAGTCCGACATGACCGTAGAGATCACTGCTACTGAGGATTTCTTGATAGAAATACGCAGTAATTGATTTTGGCCCTGTTATATAATATATTATTCTGTATGTTTATTTAAAGTCTATTGCATTCCCTTAGAAAAAAAGGGATCTAAAGGGCGGAAATAATGTCTAAAGGCATTCTCTACCAGTTAAGCCTGTATAGCAATTAATAAACAAAGAAAAGAATAGAATCAAAAATAAATACACATTATATGTAACAAAATATGTTATGATATAATGTTCTAAGCATGTATTCGTATATATGCTAGCACATATAATATAAATATATAAATTTGAACAAGTATATAATATATTATATATACAAAAAAATACAAAATTAATACATCCGTATAAATACGAGTACGGCTATTTAACAATAATAATAACAAAATCCCAGAAAATATAGAAGATTTGACTCAAAGTTCAAAAACTTTATTAAACAACGTTTGTATAAACAGGGCTATTATAATATTAAGGAATTTATGGACGATAATAACCCCTGGGAATGAGGTGATCGCTACCAAGCTATTTCTAATTATTTTTGTGTTATTAATTATGTAAGCTGCTATTTAAAAAAAAGTCCCGCTGGGTTTCTTGCTGGTTCTTCCCAGGACAGGTTTTTCTTTCTAACCAGTGGTAATTAAACAAAAGAGTGACTTTCAATAAGTATTATTTATAATCTATATTGAATAAAAAAGTTTCTGTTTCTGTTTCTATGGTATTTTCAATGATTCCCTAATAGGTGCAAGCGAACAAACTTTTTGAAGGAGTACTCTTATTTTTTAGTCTATTCTTTGTTTTGAACCCGGGTCGGGCCCGGGACAGGGGACCACATGGATGAGCAGTCGCGCTAACGATCACTAGACCAAAGAGCCAGTCAAAGAAGATGACTACCGAATTTATATTTTTAAGATAGCTGAAGGGGGGGGGGGGCATTATGTGCATTTACGTTCAGTCCTACCTTTTTTCGTGGGGAAAATCCTCATGGGTAAATTCCGCTGCGGGGGCAACGGGAAGGTTATTCCGGAGTCCTTGGTTGGTACTAAAATCCCAAGGTGGTCACCATCAGCGTGTATAAGGGGTCCGTTCGGAACACAATCGGGACCCTTCCATCGCTTGCCCGCTCTGCTCGACCAGAAGCCCGTCCCGGGGGTAGCACTTATTACACTCCCCCACCCCCTCCAGCAACCTAACTAACACGCCGACTTCAAACAAAAGAGTCTACGGATGCGTTAACATCTCTGGGGATTAAGATGGAATGCCTCACAGGGTATAATTACACGGGCTCTGTTCAAGATACAGCCTGTTAAGGTTCACTGCTGAACATAGGCCTACCCCATAGATTCATAGGGGAGATATTTTTCATAGTTGCCACGTTTGGCAAGCGGGTTGGCAAGCGCAATTTTTTTTATTTTTAGTCGTTTTAAGAAGACGCTGCTGCCCGTCTCCTGATTTGTTCTCCTCTGTCGCCTCTTACGACATCCACGGGTTGATATGAGGTAGTGGATATTCTGCCACTACACGGTAAGTAAGTAGTGTTAAGTAATGTTAAAATGAATAAATGTATATAAAAGCAGATGGGACTAGGGGTGGGCGCTACGACGATGAACTGTTTACAAAGACCGTTTTGTTTCTGCTACGATGAAACCGTTTTACGTCCTGGGTTCAATTACTTGGTGCGATTTTTTATTTTACGCCTATGAAAATACAGTCGAGCAATGATTCAACTATCTTTCTCACTCGTCGCCTTGTCCTTAACGTTCGTCTTTGGTTCCGCATTCGTTTAACAAACGTAGACAGACAAAACAGTCCATACCTAGCTGTAAGAAACTGCAACCATTTCTCTCAAAGAATGTTGAATAAGTTTCGTCCTTTAAGCAGTCTTCAAAGCGGTTGCAACGACGACCGTTTTCTGCAATCGTTTTCGTCGTCGAGAAAACGGTTGCGTTTCGTCCGTCAAAAATTCGACAACGACCCATCACTAGATGGTACCAACTGTAATATCTATCTCTCTCTCTCTCTCTCTCTCTCTCTCTTTCCCTCCCTTCCTCTCCCTCTGCCTCTATCTCTCTCTCTCAATCTCTCTTTCTGTACCTTTCATATCAATGACCTGAAAATAATTCCAACGCAGTCATTAGAAGACGTGGAGAAAGACGTGGCTGGTGTGAAGAATCGGACGTATCGCAACACAGCGTACAAAATATACCGACCGAAGAAGTCGCCGGTGTATTTGGCGGCAGAATGTGCGACGCCACTGCACACTTTGCATCGCGTTTTGGAGAAGACTTCTCTCTACGAAGGTGAGTTCTCCATCATTAGTTCTAATTAGAGATATGCCGAGTCGGCTATTTTTGGTATTCAATTATTTTGGTATTCCTAAAAAATAGAATCGAGTCAAAACTCGAGTCGGAGGAACTCGAATATTATGACAGATATTCGATATACTTCTTTTGAACTCGAGTACTTTTTGAATTGAGCTCTGAACCTTATATATAGCTCTTCTTCACGTTGCCCAACACGATGACCAATGCGTTAGCGAGAGGACCCTTTATTTTGGTAACAGTGGTAGAGCCACGCGGCAGCTGTTGCTGTCGCACGGATGGGCCGGCTCGAACCGGGGTGGTACCACGACCTCACAGAATACCAGCATGAAGTAGAGGTTTACCTCTGCATTTTGCTTGGTGAGTGCAGGTGGCCGGAGGCCCTTTTTACTGGAAATGAGGCATTCCATCTTAGTCCTCACGGGTGACAACGCATCTGCATTTTGATTTGTAATAGATGTAGATGTCTATGGGCCGCAGCAACCACTTACCATCAGGTGGACTGTGTGCTCGTTTGTCACCCTTATCCTATATAAAAAAAAACCAAAACCTAAAGAAAAGTTTTTTTTTTCAATATAGATCACGTGTATTTTTTATTGATAGTTATCTTATTGAAAGTCATTTTTACTTTACCACTGCTTCGGAAATTTTCTTTTTATAGGAGAGGGGGCAAACGAGCATGCGGCTCACCTGATGGTAAGTGACTACCGCCGCACAAGAACAACCGCATCACCAGGGGAACCAGGGGAATTGCAGATGCGTTGCCGGCCTTTTGTGGCGTCAACGCCGACGAGACTGATTGTTAACTTTAACAAAACTTTGTAAAACTTTACCAAACCTTAATTAGCAAAGGATAGTGATTAAATGACCGATTGCAATATTCATCATATTATTAATTACATATTTTTTCATAATATCATACATATCATAAATAACTTAACAAATAATTTTTGATGAAATATTTTTTTTAAGTCCAGCTAGAAAAGCTGGTTCTTCCCAGGACAGAGAAATGTCACCGAGTACCGGAACAAACTTGAGTCTGAAGTCGAGTCTTTGCTGGACAAAGTCTCGGATTGGGGGCGACTAAATCTAGTCCAGTTTAATCCTCAGAAGACACAAGTTTGTGCGTTTACCGCTAAAAAGAACCCCTTTGTCGTATCTCCTCAGTTTCAAGGTACTCCCCTTGTTGCCTCAGCCAGTATCGGAATCCTCGGCGTCGACATATCGAGTGACGTGCAGTTTCGTGGTCACTTGGAAGAGAAGGCCAAATTGGCCTCTAAAAAGCTTGGCGTGCTCAGCAGAGCGGGACAGTATTTCATGCCAGCTCAACGCCTGCAACTTTACAAGGCGCAGGTTCGGCCTCACATGGAATACTGTTCCCATCTCTGGGCAGGGGCTCCCCAGTGCCAGCTCCTTCCACTTAACCGCATCCAGCGCAGAGCGGCTCGAATCGTCGACGACAGAGTCCTTTCCGATCGGCTCGACTCATTGGCACTACGAAGAGATGTTGCATCTCTTTGCATTTTCTTTCGCATTTACCATGGGGAGTGCTCTGAGGAATTGTTCGGATTAATCCCAGCCGCCAAATTTCACGAACGCACATCGCGGCAGAACTCTCGATACCATCCACACCATCTGGATGATTGGCGGTCCACCACTGTGCGATTTAGAAGATGTTTTCTTCCTCGCACAACTTCCTTGTGGAATAGTTTGCCACCAGCGATTTTTCCGATCTTCAAGAAAAGAGCCTACTCCTTTTTAAAAGGCCGGCAACGCATCTGCAATTCCCCTGGTGTTGCGGTTGTTCATGGGCGGCGGTAGTCACTTACCATCAGGCGAGCCGCATGCTCGTTTGCCCCTCTCCTATAAAAAAAAAAAACTATTTTAATTCCCGACGTCCGCCCCGTGACCATGGGTTGCTGTAAAGCACCCGAATCGTCGGGAATTAAAATAGTAAATTAAACGCAATAAAATCCGTAAAAAATAGTTCTAGAAAATAAATCTTATTTCTAGTTTTCCATTAAGTCTAATATATTTAATTTATGCTTCAAAATTATTTCGGATCACCGTTGAAGTATAATCTATATAATATTTTACATGTTATTTAATTTGATTTTATTTATTTCTAAGACATGTTATGCGATATCGTCAATTGTTAAGTGGTTTTTTTATGATTCTTATTTTATATTATAGGATGAACTTTTGTGGTGGTCCCAAATAAATTTGGAGAAAAAAATTTATCTATTTAGACTCTCAATACTCAAGAATTAACTTAAATTCTGAAGTCGACATTATTTAGGAGAGACAGTGTTTAGGAGAGTTAAACTCCCGACCACATGAGTAAAGAGTTTTCTTTACTCTCTGCCCCGACTTCGGAATGTGAAGTTATTTTATATTTTTTTAGTTGTTTGAAGTCTGTTTTGACTTTCTATTGAAAAAAATTCACATTTATATTTTTGGTTGGATGTACTTTTTAATGGTAACAGAATTAGCCAATGTGAACGTCCAAAACATCGTCAACGACTTCTGCAGAATGCTGCGCTCTATAATCGCCAAGAGTCCAGAGTGTAGAAACAAGTGCGAGCTCGTTTATTTTGACGGTGAGTGATTAAAATGGTTCAAGTTATGACCACCGCGTAGGAGCTGTGGTAGCTCAGATGTTTAGCGCTCGCTGTAAATTTCATAGTATGCGAGCAACCCGGGTTCGATCCCCGCCGGCACCAATGAAATTGTTAATTGCAATTTTAAGTGCTGATTTACCACGTGCTCAGTGGTGAAGGAAAAGATCATGATGAAACCTGCATGTCTGAAAAATAACAAAAAAAAAAAATTCGCACACACCGTCGCAATACAGCGGACATTTCCTTGTCCTACTTACCCACTCAGAAATGAGGGAAGACCTGTGCCCAGCAGTGGGACATATATATGCTGTAATTTTTATGATCACCGCGTGGCTTATTGATATAGGAACATGTATTTTTTAATAGAATGCAGGTGACAAAACGAGCACACAATCCACCTGATGGTAAGTGGATGCTGTGGCCCGTAGAAATGTACATTTATCCTCAATTAAGAATTAAAATGCGTTACCTCTGAGGACTAAGATGGAATGCGACGTTTTCAGTAAAACTGATCTGCTACTTTATGATGGTTTTCTTCGAGTGGACTTGTAAAGGGCTGAGATGATGATGATGATGATGATTCTATAAGAGCTTGGTACTTACCCGGTCGGGCTGACTTTACTACGTATAAATTATAATTATACGTATAAATTAATGAAATACGCATACATTAATATTAAATAAAATGTTTTTCAGATACTGACCCCACACAAAACCTAGCGGACGTATTGCTGGATCGGATACGATTATTGGAACCAAATTTCGAGAATTTAAAAAATACATAATTAGGAATTCTGTGATATTATTAATTTTAAGTTGACAGCGATTTTTCGTTAAGTTTTGCTATAAAATTGTACTCATCTAGTTCCTCAGTGATGATTTAATGATAAGCAATTATTTTTAGTAGGGGGAATCATTACGATACGGTTTATTTAGAAATGAGTCGTACAGCTGACTTGTGATATTAAAATATCAATATGATGTAGTGTTTCGTAAGATTTTTGTATGGCAACCCTATTAACATCTGTACACGCTGTATTTAGGGTTGCAACACAGGCAAAGAGAAAAACAAATTCCCGCGGAGCTCTAATGAGATTACATTATCTTTGGTGTTATTTTGTGAACATGTATAGGTACATACACTAGTAAGTAAAAGACTGTTATTTAAGTATAATACTATTTTTTGATTGATGAATGATGACACATTGTGACAAATAATTTCACCTCTGTCCCAACTGGCGACCAGGAACCAAGCGACATCTGGTGAGCGGAAGGTTTTTATTAGCCATCATTCAAAGTCCGAGTTATTGTCTAGTAAGCGCGAGCCAATGACGATAGAGCAAAGCAGGGTATAAGTAGCGGCACGAAAGTCTAGCGGTGACCGTTATTGCGCATAAGTCGCGCTGATTGGCTCGTGCGTATCGTTCGCACGCACTGATTAGCTCTCCAGTTGCATTCGTGCAATTCAATTCGTGCGCGTCCCCTCCACGTTTCGTTCAGCGCTAGACATACATGCCGCGACTTGTATCTATAGGGTCATTTACTAAATTAAGCGCAGATTACACTTCGTATAGCTTAAGCGTATAGTTAATTGATATGCACGTGCTATAAGCACGCAAGTAATCTATGTAATAAGTGAAACGTGGTGAAATTTAAAAAATGCAGGGTTTTTTTTTTATATAGCGCTTGTGATTATCGGTCATTAAAAAGTAAAGAAACGTATGCGTAGGTAACACTGGGTATCTTCTTTCTTTTCCGAAAGGATATGCTAAAGCTTAAATTAATTTTTCCATGGTGCCGGCGAGCTTCAAACTCGGCTTGGCCACTTCCTAAAAAATTTTAAACTCCGCTAAAAAGGTTTTTTTTTTTAAATTTGAAAAAACAGATTCCTAAGAAGTTCAAGAAACATATCGTCCTATGGTATAATCCGTTTTTTTAAATATCAATTCCCTGTAAATATAGTTTGTTTGTTTGGCAACATAAGATTATTACTGTTATTGTTATTTTATTTAACAATTTAAAATAAAACGGCCTTCTGCACTGTAGAGTGGGTTGTAATTAGAAATAAGATGATTTTAGTTCCAGAAATTAGGTTATTTTTAAGGTACTTACGTAATTATGTATAGCTACTATAACTGTTTGTTTTTATTTTGGATTTTAATTTTTTTATGTGTCTTTTCCGTTACGGCGGTTTTATATATCACACACCGTGCGGGCTGGAAATGAACGCAGCCAATTTTAGCACTATTTTAGCCTTGGTCTGTATGATACACCTTAAATTATACCTAAATCTAGGGTTTGATTCTTTAAGGTTGATTTATCTTGGTCAACTGATATAGGAATATTCATTGTTAAAACATTTACGGCGTTACTCATAAAAATCGATGTCAATTAAAAAAACCTAAAAATTGCTCTCTCTCTCTCTCTTCTCCCGCTCTCCCTCTCCCCCCGCTCTTCCTCCCCCCTCCATCTCCTGTCTCCCTTCCTCTTCCGTATCTCACTACCACTCCCTCCCCCTTCTATATCTCTCTCCCTCTCACTCCCCCTTTCATATCTCACTCTCCCTCCCTCTCTCGCACTTCACAAAATGACAATAGAAAGAGACAGGTATATAAGTATAGATAAAAGTAAGCAATAACAAACGACGCCGTTAAGTTTTTTGATGACTACCTTTTTGAGGATTTTTCATGACACACTGATAGATATAGAGACCGATAGAAGTACAACGAGTTATAATATTCTTTTTTCGTAAAAATATTAATATATACGAGTATTGAGATAAGGATAAAAGAAGGCCAAGATTTATTTAGCGACTAACATCTGAGCATATTATATTCTTACGTATTTATAATTTTTAAGATTTGTTTTATATATTATATTACTGATTTTATAATGATAATTTTATAGCCATTCAAATTAAAATGAATACTAATGTTGTGTTTATGTGTTTTCTTTAAGTTTTTTTTTTACATTTATAAGCTTCTATCATAATTTTATACTTGACTACTATCCCATTTAATAGTAAGTGGTGATGCAGCTGAAGATAGTGAAGCTTACTGACTTAGCTTAACAACAACCTGTTCAATCTTTCTCACATTATAATATGGATGGAGAGATAGTACAGATTATTTCATTTCTTTGCTGTACGCGTTATTAACGACGAAGCAAACCGTTTGCTTCAAATTCGTGGCACGTCGACAACAAAGTGGAAACTAGCTGAGCGTCTAGTTCTCCTATGATGGAATGGAGAGGGTAAGTCATGCAATTACTGATCTCACTCTCCGAAATGTATCTTGTGAGAAAGGTTATCTATTTTGCGCCTGCTTGACATGGGCGTTCCCCGTTGTAGAAGTGATTTCGTTTCACAATTTTAACGTTGCTACTTGTCGTCGGTCTTAAGTATTTTATCCTGGCGTAAACGAGTTTTATCGCCATACATCAGGGGTAATTAAATCGTTTTGCTAATGATAGACCACTAACCCTCGGCTGCAATATAATAGGCAATACAAGGTAGTAGTTATTTTAATATTACAGACAGTTTGTATATATTTAATCAGAAGAAGGCAGAATCGCTTGAGGACCTAAGCACTATGTTCAATGACCTCAATAGTGTCTCCCAAAGGATAGGTCTTAAGATGAACATTGACAAAAAAGTCATGTATAACGTCCATATTACACCTATGCCGGTAGTTGTTGGGAGCACTAAGCTCGAAGTTGTTGACGAGTATGCTTACTTGGGACAAATAGTCCGACTAGGTAAGTCCCAACTTCGGCCAAGAGGTCAGTCGACGGATTCAACACGACTCTCCCGTTCGGGAAATTACAACACATCTTCTCGTCAGGCATACCTAACTTTAAAACAAGATTATACAACCGGTGCGTGTTGTCAGTGATGACCTATGGATCTGAGACGTGGTCCTTCACTGCTGGCCGTTTGAGGAAGCTCAAGGTCGCTCAACGAGCTATGGAGAGGGCTATGTTCGGCGTCTCTGCGTGATAGAATTAAAAACGAGGATATCCGCATTAAGTAATAATGGTAATGGGCTGACCATATAGCTCGAAGAACCGACATCCGATGGGGAAGAAAGGTTTTCGAGTGGCAGTCACGTACCGACAGGCGAAGTGTAGGGCGTCCCCCGACTAGATGAAGTGACAACCTGGTAAGACATGCAGGAAGTCGATGGATGCAGGTGGCTCAGGACCGTTCTTGTGGCATTCCTTGGGGAAGTCTATGTTCAGCAGTGGACTTGTGAAGAACTGTAATAATGATGATGATAGATTTAATTATTGATGCCATTTTATGAATGTTTAATAAATTTACTTATACCTGCTTAATGATCAAAGCTATTCTAAAATTATAGTACAGTAATATAATAATAAATCATTTATTCTCTCTTCACAAATAGTACTTTTAGGTCACCAGAACCTCAACCCGCGGACAGAATTAATATTTTTATGCAGACTCGTTATCACCCGTGGGGACTAAGATGGAACGCCTCTTTTCCAGTAAAAAGGGTGTCCGGTACTCTACACTCACCATACGAAACAGCAACATTAAGCTGCTATTTACGCTGGTTTTCTGTGAGAGCGTGGTTTTTCCCCGGTCGAGCCGTCCCATTCGTGCTACAACTATACTACTAATATAGCTGCAGCATGGCTCTACCGCGTATAAAATATAGTAGCATAATTAAAACGAATAAAAGCTATTGATATTAAAAGAAAGTAGAAAGTAAAGTGTTGCAGAAATTATAAGTTTGTTAAAGTTGGTGTGAAGGGTCAATAAGTATGTGAGTGCAAACCTATGAAGGAAGCGATTTTTGGGAGTGTAAATGTGTAAGTAAATATGTGTGTGTGTGTGTGTGTTGCGAGTATGTTAACGGCTATGAGTAAATATATCTTAGATTTAGGATTATTTAAGTACAGTCAAAAGTTTCTCTGTTTTTTTAAATAGTATTTCAATGTTATTTAACAATTAAATTTGGTTTTAGGATATATATTAAGGATGCTATTTAATTTGTTGTATTGAATTTGTACAAGAAAGCAAAAGAACTAATGTGAGAAAGAAGTTGAAGCGTTTGACATATCTTTTAGGTGCTTATTATTAAGTAGCTTCTCGTCATACTGCAGCTGGGAGTGTTTTAAGCACAGTATGCAAAATAAAAGTTTGCCTAACTGTGCCGGACGGGCGAAACTCTCCGGAGTAAATGTTGACAGTGATACTCCACGAGTCGCTCACATCCTACACCAATAGGTTCCGGAGGATACTTCTACTGCCGTCTTTGTGGGTGCAGCTGGGGTACTGTGGACTGACGTTCAAAATTAAAATGTACGAACTATAAAATACAAATGGTAAGACATTGGCCAGCGGTTCGACTACTCAACTGTTCTGCGGAAATCTTCTGACTATTGGCTATTGACCACGGTTGTTGAATATGGTTGTTCAACTACGGTTGTTCACTATATTTTTCAGACTATTTCTTCAGTTGTTTGGTAGTAACATATATTTAGTAGTAGTAGCTGCTTTTATTAACACCGTTTCACTAGCTGCTATTATCATCTGCTATGTTGTACTCTTAGCTGTACTTATCTAGCTGCTATTATCAGCTAACTAGCTATTTCTATCACTTGTGTGTCTGCAAAAATATCAGTTACTATGTTGTACAACTAGCTATCACTGTCACTTGTAACTGCAAATATCAGTTACCACGTTATGCAACTAGCTATCACTATCACTTGTGTAACTGCAAATATCAGTTACCACGTTATGCAACTAGCTATCACTATCACTTGTAACTGCAAATATCAGTTACTATGTTACTAGCTACTATTCACTATGTTCTATATTCTGCTACTAGTCACTTCAGCTACCACTTGTTACTACCGCTTCTTACTGGTAGTTCTTCACACTACTGCTTGGTACTGGTAGTTCTTAATTACTACCGCTTCTTATTGGTAGTTCTTCACACTACGACGTTACTGGGTCCCGAGGACCTAAGGTAGACTTGAGCGTTACTTTAAAGTGAGCCGCTTGCCATTGTCAATTTTGCCTCTTTATTACATAACATTTTCTCTATACAATTGTCTTAATTACTATTTTTCCTTACATGATTAATTCCTACACTAATGTACTATACATTGTTAAATTGGCAATTTAGTCCTTTATTACAACATAAAGGTTATTTTTTTTTATAGGATAAGGGGACAAACGAGCACACAGTCCACCTGATGGTAAGTGGTTGCTGTGGCCCTTAGACATCTACATTTATTCTCAATTAAGAATAAAATGCAGATGCGTTGCCACACCTGACGACTAAGATGGAATGCCTCGTTTCCAGTAAAAAGGGTCTCCGGTTCTCTACACTCACCATACGAAGCACGTTACTCAATATATTAACATTATAAAAGTTATTAAACAAAATATCCTGAATTTTCATAATGTTTGGGTACATGGGATTCTTTAATTTTACTATAGATAGGAAATAAGTTTAATTACGCTAAATGTTCTTTTATTTCCTTAACAATACAATATCCCATTCCTTATACAGGTCAACAGTAGGGAATCGGAAGGCTAGACCAGCACTTAAGTATGGTGCGCTGTGCCCTCTCAACTTCGATTAGATGAGTTCAATGTGCGGTTTAAAGGTAAGATGTTGATCAATTATGACCCCAAGATATTTAATATTCTCGGCTCTCAAGAGTGATACGTGAGCACACGGTTTTGAAATCACTGGCATGGGCAGAAATAGTAAAAGAGGTCGGTGGGAGTAGATTACTCCTATGATCAAAGGTTATATATTTAGTTTTAGACACGTTGAGTGTTAGAACATTATTTTGCAGCCAGCTCCTGACTTTAACCAGCTTGTGCGACATGAAATACCTCTTCCCGACTATCCCCACTGAAGTACGAGGCGCTATCGTTAGCAAATGAAAAAGTTTTGCCTTTATGAGGTGGAAGTTGGCAAAGATAATTTATGTACAAGAAGAAGGACCGATTATGCTGCCTTGTGGAATACCAAATTTGACAGCTACCTCATCACTTAGTAAGTTTTCTATTCTGACCTGTTGTTTTCTACCAGTAAGATAGTCTTCCATTAATTTAAGTGAAATATCTCTTATACCGAGTCTTTCTAATTTTGTGCGGAATAGAGACTGTCGAACACTTTTACCAGGTCCAGAGACTCCGTTAAACATTTCTTCCTGCCGTCCAAATTGACAACAATAGAGTGTACTGTTGAACTGCTTATTATAATAGATAACCACTCCTTCATTTTAGGTTTTATGAGAGGTTGTCACTATATGGTTGTACAGTACAACCAACTCTTGACAAGTACAACTTGTACTTGTCAAGAGTTGGTATAAACTTTGCTGATGGTAGCCAACATTCTGTAAGGACTACTAATATGTCCCTGTATATTTCACACCTTTGTAGGAGAATGACGAAGTTGTACAATTGAGGCTACGAATATTTTGAGAGATATGATGAGATAAGATTTTAACAGTACCGTAATTTTTGGATACAAAGTTCTTTGCATGTTCTTTGTCGCACTTTATCGTTTTAGCTACTTGGATTGAGTCCAGATCTAGGTTTAAATTATAATAATTGAAATACGATTATTTTACATAAAATAAAATTTATCATTTCATTATTAAAGTAATATTAAAAATCTTAGCGCTATATTTAATATTTCGTGGGTTTTAGGTTGTTTCTTTGCCAAATTTTTCTATTAAAATAAAATTGTCTCGTGGACCGCAAACTCTTAAGTAATGTTATCCATCAGCCTGTATTACGAAGTATCATAAATTCGCAGGAGTCGTAATAAACTAGTGAACTTTTAACGCGAAACTTTTAATTAAAAGTATTTCAGTTTCTTACGAAACAAAAATTCTGCGTGACTACGTTACTCATCACAACATTTACGCTTTTGTAGTTTTGCATTTATATTATGATTTT